TTACAGCATAATATTCACAACTAGTCTTTTTTAAATTCAGAATAAATAAATCTGCTAATTTCTTCCGTTTTACGTGTGATGGTACGTGTAGATAATGGAAGGTCCTGGCAAAGTTTTAAAATTGCATTGCTTTTTTCTCCAAAGGAACGTAGGACATCACACATAAGAGTTTTGAAAAATATCCCATCGGTGAAGGAAGGCATTGCTTTGCCAAAGCCAGTCCAATAGTATATGATGCTTTTTTATAGCCAAGCTATCATTATTTTCTGCTAAAAATAATATAAAAAAAGGCTAGCTTCTAATTCAAAAAATTTTTGGCCGCGATCAACCCCTGTTAATTTTTTGTATTCATCATGCCTTGCATTGTAATGTTCAATGGAAAATAATCTACATTGGCAGGCAACATAATAACATATGACGCGTTGCGCATCGCCATCCATATTTTGGATGAAGAAAAAGTTTTGTTCCCAATTTTAGTTAAACATGTTTTCTCTCAGTTTTGCATCAAAAAGTTGCGCAGCGTGGTCTTGCATTTGTCGATGTTCTGTTGTAATTTTTTAATAACTGGGAAAATTCGGAAAAAAAATTTGTTTGTATATGAGAATAGAGAGGTAGAGATACCTGTCATGTTTTTCCAGTTGTATTTTTTTTAGTTTTGTTAATTGTACCATTGACTTCCTTGTGTCTTCCAGTAATGTGGTCATCGTGGAATTGTTTTAATATTTTATCGATCGATTTTGTTGTCTTGCAAGTAAATTGTTTTTGGCGTTAACGCAATTGTTATGTTTATATGTTCATGTTTATTGGCTTCTGTTCTTTCGCATCCTAGTGCTGACTCTTCTTACAATGTTTTCAATCGTACCGTTCATAATATTGTTGATAATAATGCTTCCAGAAGAGTGCGTGGCTCGTATAGGCTACCATGGTATACGAAGGGTCTTGTGAGGTATAAGAATCTGCGTAACAAGTTCTTTAAACGATTTAAGAAAACCCGTGACTCTGTTGACTGGGCCAGATATGTGCAGCATAAGCGGGAGTTTGATTTTTTAAACAAATTTTTATATAATCAGTATATTGATGACGTTGAAATGGGACTTAAGTTTAATCCCAGGTCGTTCTGGCATTTCATAAATTTAAAAAGGTCGACGAGCGCCCTTCCATCAGCCATGAACCTAGGTAACTTGAGCTCAAATACTGATAGTGGCATAGCAAACCTTGTTGCTTCTTTTTTTTAGCTCGAATTTCAAGCCATACACAGTTTGGCATGATTCTCATGTCTTAGACTCGATCCCTTCAGTGGTCAATATTGGTTCGCTTGATGTATCGGAGGTGGACATTTTGGAGGCAATTTCTGATTTCGACAACTCGAATAAGCCCGACAGTGATGGCATTTCTACCTTTCTGCTTCGCAACTGTGATCTTGCTTTTTGTGAGCCTCTTAAAATTCTGCTCAAAAATTCTTTGGTAACGGGTCGGTTTATTAAAATGTGGAAAGCTGCCACTATTACTCCCGTTTTTAAAACAAGGTGCTAAGAACTGTATCTCTAATTATAGACCCATTGCCAAACTCAGCAATGTCTCAAAACTTCCTGAGCGAATCATTGCCAAAAAGGTATCTTTCCTCATGAAGTCGTACATAAGCCCAAATCAGCATGGTTTTATGCCAGGTAGATCAACGGCCACTAATTTGGTAGCCTTCAGTAATTTTTGCACACATGCCTTTGAAAGGCATTCTCAGGTCGATGTAACTTACACTGACTTTGCTAAGGCTTTTGACAAAGTCTCCCACTGTGCCTTAGAAGCCAAGCTGCATCGGTTGGGGATTCATTCGAGCATGCTTTGTTGGTTCATGTCGTATCTGGAGCAGCGAGAGTATGTTGTGTTGGTAAACGGAAAGCAGTCGGACCCATATTTGGCTACTTCCGGCCTTCCACAGGGAAGTGCTCTTGGGCCTTTGCTGTTTGCTATTTTCATTAATGACATATGTTTCAGCATTCAAGCTTCTGAGCATTTGCTTTATGCTGATGATCTGAAAATCTTCCGTCCTATCAAAACTTTAAGCGACAGTATCCGTCTTCAGCGAGACCTGGATGCAGTCGCTCGTTGGTGCACACATAATTCTCTCCCTCTCAACATTAACAAATGTTACTTTGTGTCCTTTAGCAAGTGTGTATTCAATGTTTAGGCCTCATATTCGCTAGTTGGCCTTCCGCTCATGAAGCATACAGAGAGACTTGACCTAGGGGTCTTGTTCGATTCAAAATTTCTTTTTATCGAGCATTTGAACTTCATTTTGCCAAAAGCCTATGCTATGTTCGGCTTTGTTACGCATAATTCATCCCAGTCTATGAACCCATATACGAGGCTAAGTCTTTATTCATTTCTTGTGCGCTCGCGCCTTGAGTATGCTTCTGTGGTTTGGAACCCCACTGGGGTCGTTCAAATTGCGCGTATCGAGAGATTGCAAAGGAAGTTTTTGAATTTTGCACTCCAGCCTTTGCAACTTTCCGTTCCGTTGCCGTCCTATGAGTGCAGATGTCGCCTCGTGCGTCTCTCCTCTCTCGAGGATCGAAGGACCATTGCGGCTCAGTTATTGATATACGATATATTAGTGGGTAACATCGATTGCCCTGACCTGCTTGCTAGGATTAGCTTTAACACGCCTGCCAGGAGCCTTAGGGGCCATGCACTCTTTGTGGTTGATCTTCACCGGAACAATTATGGTAATAATGAGCCAATATGTAGGGCTCTTCGCCGGTATAATTCGCTGCCTGCTGGGATGCGATTCGATTTTTGCCTTGGGAAAGGAGCCGTCAGACGGTTGCTTTCTGAGTTTTTCTTGTTTAATTGTTACTTCCTTATTTTGTTTGTTTATTTTTTAATATAGAAATAAGTTAGTTTAGCCAGATAAGGTTTATCCGTTGGCGAATAAATAAATAAATAAATATCCATTTCCTACACTCCCACTTAGACTTTTTTCTGACAAACCTAGGGGACGTTAGTGATAAACACGGAGATAGATTTCACCAACAAAGTGATCGGATTTATAGCTGCATTTGTCAGCTTTTCAGAACTGCAAAGTTCTATACAACGAGATATTAGATACTTAAGTTATGTGAAAAATAGAAGCACTACCTCTGAAAAAAAACATGAAAAAAATATTAAATTTCAAAAATTAGAGAAAAGAAAACATAATACTATAAAAAATTTTAAATTACGAAATCTATTAGAAAAAGTCCTTTTGGTCCACACCGGGAAGGAAAAAAAGAAAAAAGAGACTTAGGACAATTCTTCAAGAGTCTTATTTTAGAAGCCGGTAATCTAGGCGTCACCAAATTACAGCTGTCATTAAAAGACAGAATGTTTACGTATACCCGGGTAGATGAATTTAAAGCAGATGCCGGCCTCTGCTTGTGTCCTCCAGTAATGTGGTCATCGTGGAATTGTTTTAATATTTTATCGATCGATTTTTTGTCTTGCAAGTAAACTGTTTTTGGCGTTAACGCAATTGTTTTGTTTATAAGTTTTTTATTTCCAATTTCTTTAAATCAGGGGTCGGCACACAGACTCACACATTTTATTGGTGCAATTGTGTGCGAAAACAACAGACACGAAGTCAAATACACGAATGCTTCTCTGCCGGTGAGGCAAGCGAGTAGAATATGAAGCCGTTTGTGCATAGCCCCAAGCATGTTTCTCTGCCGCGACGTCAGTGAGGCAGTATTTTCTCTGCCGCTACGTCAGAAGCGCAGAATAACGAAACCACACGAAGTCTTTACGCTGTACGTTTGCCGACTGCGCTGCCAGAAATGTTTTCCTATGCACAGTGCATACGACGCTGCCGGCCTCTGCTTTAAATTCATCTACCCGGGTATACGTAAACATTCTGTCTTTTAATGACAGCTGTAATTTGGTGACGCCTAGATTACCGGCTTCTAAAATAAGACTCTTGAAGAATTGTCCTAAGTCTCTTTTTTCTTTTTTTCCTTCCCGGTGTGGACCAAAAGGACTTTTTCTAATAGATTTCGTAATTTAAAATTTTTTATAGTATTATGTTTTCTTTTCTCTAATTTTTGAAATTTAATATTTTTTTCATGTTTTTTTTCAGAGGTAGTGCTTCTATTTTTCACATAACTTAAGTATCTAATATCTCGTTGTATAGAACTTTGCAGTTCTGAAAAGCTGACAAATGCAGCTATAAATCCGATCACTTTGTTGGTGAAATCTATCTCCGTGTTTATCACTAACGTCCCCTAGGTTTGTCAGAAAAAAGTCTAAGTGGGAGTGTAGGAAATGGATATTTATTTATTTATTTATTCGCCAACGGATAAACCTTATCTGGCTAAACTAACTTATTTCTATATTAAAAAATAAACAAACAAAATAAGGAAGTAACAATTAAACAAGAAAAACTCAGAAAGCAACCGTCTGACGGCTCCTTTCCCAAGGCAAAAATCGAATCGCATCCCAGCAGGCAGCGAATTATACCGGCGAAGAGCCCTACATATTGGCTCATTATTACCATAATTGTTCCGGTGAAGATCAACCACAAAGAGTGCATGGCCCCTAAGGCTCCTGGCAGGCGTGTTAAAGCTAATCCTAGCAAGCAGGTCAGGGCAATCGATGTTACCCACTAATATATCGTATATCAATAACTGAGCCGCAATGGTCCTTCGATCCTCGAGAGAGGAGAGACGCACGAGGCGACATCTGCACTCATAGGACGGCAACGGAACGGAAAGTTGCAAAGGCTGGAGTGCAAAATTCAAAAACTTCCTTTGCAACGGACCGGGGGTTCCAAACCACCGAACCAAGGGAGCGCACAAGAAATGATAAGACAGAGGGTCAACGGGCCCGGGGGGAGTTCAAAGCGTAAGATTTTGCGCGACCCTGAATCTTGTATGCTTCATGAGGGAACGCCAACTGGCGAATATGAGGCCGAACATTGAATACACACTTGCTAAGGACACAAAGCGCTAATGTTAGAAATGAATAAAGACTTAAGACGGATACTGTCGCTTAAAGTTTTGATAGACGGAAGTTTTGTCATCAGCTAAGCAAATGGGCTTGGCTGCTTTAGCGGCAAAGCCTCCGGGGCCGGAAGTAGCCAAATATGGGTCCGACTGCTTTCCGTTTACCAACACAACATACTCTCGCTGCTCCAGATACGACATGAACCAACAAAGCATGCTCGAATGAATCCCCAACCGATGCAGCTTGGCTTCTAAGGCACAGTGGGAGACTTTGTCAAAAGCCTTAGCAAAGTCAGTGTAAGTTACATCGACCTGAGAATGCCTTTCAAAGGCATGTGTGCAAAAATTACTGAAGGCTACCAAATTAGTGGCCGTTGATCTACCCGGCATAAAACCATGCTGATTTGGGCTTATGTACGACTTCATGAGGAAAGATACCTTTTTGGCAATGATTCGCTCAGGAAGTTTTGAGACATTGCTGAGTTTGGCAATGGGTCTATAATTAGAGATACAGTTCTTAGCACCTTGTTTTAAAAACGGGAGTAATAGTGGCAGCTTTCCACATTTTAATAAACCGACCCGTTACCAAAGAATTTTTGAGCAGAATTTTAAGAGGCTCACAAAAAGCAAGATCACAGTTGCGAAGCAGAAAGGTAGAAATGCCATCACTGTCGGGCTTATTCGAGTTGTCGAAATCAGAAATTGCCTCCAAAATGTCCACCTCCGATACATCAAGCGAACCAATATTGACCACTGAAGGGATAGAGTCTAAGACATGAGAATCATGCCAAACTGTGTATGGCTTGAAATTCGAGCTAAAAAAAAGAAGCAACAAGGTTTGCTATGCCACTATCAGTATTTGAGCTCAAGTTACCTAGGTTCATGGCTGATGGAAGGGCGCTCGTCGACCTTTTTAAATTTATGAAATGCCAGAACGACCTGGGATTAAACTTAAGTCCCATTTCAACGTCATCAATATACTGATTATATAAAAATTTGTTTAAAAAATCAAACTCCCGCTTATGCTGCACATATCTGGCCCAGTCAACAGAGTCACGGGTTTTCTTAAATCGTTTAAAGAACTTGTTACGCAGATTCTTATACCTCACAAGACCCTTCGTATACCATGGTAGCCTATACGAGCCACGCACTCTTCTGGAAGCATTATTATCAACAATATTATGAACGGTACGAATGAAAACATTGTAAGAAGAGTCAGCACTAGGATGTGAAAGAACAGAAGCCCAGTTTACGTTTAACATGTCATCCCGTATAGCAGTCAAACTTACATCAGTAAAAATATATTCAAACCCGGGTTCAGACCAGGGCGAGTAACTATAGAATTTAGCTGAGAAGACCATCCGCAGACTGCGGATCAGCGGACCGTACCCAGGAGCCCAGATTAAAATCGCCAACAATGCAAAGATGCTGATGGCCTCGTAGATTACCATATATGTTGGCAATATTCAGCGTGTGCGCCTTGTAGACTTCATAGCTGCTATTCGGTGGAATATACGACGCGCTGATACATAGCTTCTCCGACTGACCGGCCACTGACACACCAACCTGATCCAGGATAGAGTCACCGTCAAGGAGACAAATCGGATCACAGCGTAGGGTGCGTCTGACGGCCACAATGACACCACCTCCTCTCCGACGCTTCGTTTTGGCACAATCTCTGTCCTTACGAAACACTTGGAAAAGGTTGGGATCGAAGTACTCGTTGTCGAAGAAGTTTTCGTTGAGCCAGGTTTCAACCAAGATGATTACGTCGAAATCGCACGTAGAGGTTGCCAAGTAGACAGCCTGAGCCTTAGTGCGCATACCTGCTATATTTTGAAAGAAAATGCGAATGGGTTTGGCCCCGTCCATCAGCATGGTCCCAGAAAGTGGCAATGACGTCCGGCCAGTGGCCACGGGAGCAGGCTCCAGAGCAGCACCAGGCAGTTTCCACTGAGCAACAGGGGCCAGACCCGCATGGGAAGCCTGCCGAATCATCACAGTGCGGATCAGCAGCCCATCCCCATCGAGTAGACTGGGCGGGAACGGTGCTGGGAGACAAATTCTTTCTGAATGTGTTGACAGTGGCGCTGAAGAGAGTGATCCACTTAAAAGCAAGCGCCGGGCTGCTGACTCTCCCCAAGTGTCGAGTGCAGCGCCGACGCAAGCATAGCACACGAAGCAATGTAAAAGCGTTTGTTGTTGTTGTGATGACGATAAATACTCACGCAGTCGAAAGAGAGCGCCAGCAAGAGCATCGCCATCCGATCCAGCAGCAGCCGAGCGAATGCCGCACAAAGCGCAGCGCGAAAAATGCATATGTTGTAGTTGTTGCAACGACGGGGAATACAAATTATGATCCCATAGTCGGTTGCTCACAGCAAAGAGGGGAACAAGTGCAGGTAGAATATTCTGTTGAAAAGCGGCGATCATGAACCCAGAGGCGCCGCTCATTGGGGGTTTTTTGAAGTTGACGGAACTGGACCTTCCTGAGTGGGCGTGGACGTCCGCAACGGTACGATAGCGCGGAGATCTACTGTCGTCAGGTCAGCGTCCGGCCTACTTCTATGTACAAAGCGGGAAACCCTTACCGATACAGGCCAAAACTTGTCATCAAAGACAGCAGCAAATAGATCCTCAGGGACCCCAAGTTTGAAGTTGACAAACTTTAACGAAGATATAACGGCATCTCGCTTGACTAGCTTCACACAAGAAATTTTCGCTACCGGCACCTTAAGTTGTTCGGCAACAAATTTTGCCACCGCCTCTGGCTCCGTCGCGGTAGAAAATTTACCGATATGCATGTATTTGCTACTCTGCATAACGTTTAGCTGCTCGCAGCTCGGAGCAATACCAACAAAACGCTTAGTGTTTTTGTTTCTATTCTTCCTCTCCTTCTTTCTGACCGTGACAAAGCCATCCGAATCCAATGGGAGAGCAGCAGCTGATTCCGGTTCAATGACCGCCGTCGAGGTGGCGGCCACTAGTCGCGGAGACAACAAGTCAGCCGCTGGCATGGGCTTGTTGGCCTCTTTCCTAGTAGGCTTCACCCGCTTAGGATTGACGGAAAGGCCCTGTAAGTTCGACTTGAGATCCGAATAAAGGCTTTCAAGCTTCAGAACCTTATCATTAATTTCATCAATTTTCGAATGCGAGTCATTAGAAACCACACATTTCCACACTGCCATAACAGGTTAGGCAGATTTATTAACAGTTTTACAGCATCAAAGCAACGAAGCTGAGCGGCAGTGACGTCCGAATTGCATTCCGAGTAGTGATAAAGTGACATAGTGAAAACATGTCCGAACGCAGTGAGAGCTGATTGATCATTGATATCCAATTATAGCTCCAATTTTTTCATAATTCTCAATTAGGTTAACGTAATCATCACTCTTGCTGTTACCAAGAATCAGTCAGTCAGTAATCAGTCGCAATGAGTTCCAGGCTGTTTCTTCATTCGTAGATAAAATATTTTCAAATCCATCATCTTTTAGTCGTTTTCGAGTTTAGGGCCATCAAATACGCCTTTTTTAACCTTTGCCAGGTAACTCATCGATCCTCCTTAATTATCCAGGGCTTTAACCAAATTGTTCGTTAGTCCCAGATTAATGTGTAATTGTGGTAAAATAACGTCTTCAAACTGCACGAGAGCTGCGTTGTGGCCAGAGTTTTCTTGACTAATGCTCAGTTCTAGCTCTACTATCCCATTGCCTAGGAAGCAGCGGTATTTTGTGTAACCCCCATGCAATCCCGTTAACATGGCTACGACTTTTAAGCCACACGCGACCTTCCACTGGTGTTCTTTATATTTTTTGATATGTTTCCTTCATATTAACAGCATGGGCGATGCTGCCCATGCCCATGCTTTGCTTTTTAGTGGCGGTATTTCATCTAAAGGACGAGCAGGAAGCGTAAAGCCTGGACCAGGTTGTTTCGGGTAACCCCATTTCATGGATCTCCCGATTCCAGTTATTGTGAATGAACAAAAGAAACATTGAGAGCCGTGAATATCTGGTTTTCTCGACAGCATTGGAGTAAAAGTAACTGTCCATACCTAGGACTCGGTAAAACCAAAATTACAGGTCCTTTTAGTTTCCGACAATCCCATTTTGGCAATTGGAACAACAACATATTGTAAGGTATTTTTCAGATTAAATGTTTCGAGTCGTTTGGGTTAAACGGCTGCAACTTGGCCGTTTATCCATCGATTCTTTCAAACGATACCTTAAACGACGCTTAATTAATGCGTCCATCTAAAACCAAAACTCATGCTAAGAAATATTCAATTTTCGACTTTTCCTGAGTATTAAAAGTCAAAATTTCGGGGAAGAAAATACCGCAAAAAAATTAGAAAATTTGAATTTGAAAGCTTAATATCTTCCAGATGTTAAGATGCAGCTACAAAGTGTCTGGGTCGGATCTATAGCTGCAGAACTGCAAAGTTCTATGAACCAAATATAAGATACTTAATTTATGTGAAAAATGTGAAGAAGCACTACCCCTGAAAAAAAACATGAAAAAATACCAAACTAAAATAAAAATCTTTAAAAAACTAAACCATAAAATAAAATTAAAATTTTTAATCCCGAAATCTATAAGAAAAAGTAATTTTGGGCCACACCGGAAATGTCGTTTCGACTAGTGTACTAATGGCATTTGGCTACAAATTCTTTTCCCTTTTTATACCCGTACTCAAAAAGAGTTAAGGGGTAAAAGTGGATGTGGGCAACGCAGAGAAGGAAACGTTTCCGACTCCATAAAGTATATATATTCTTGATCAGCATCAATAGCCGAGTCGATATAGCCATGTCCATCTGTCCGTCTTGATGAGCGCCTAGATCTCAGAGACTATAAAAGCTAGAGCAACCAAATTTTGTTTCCACACTCATGTGAAATCACACTGCTACAAGTGTATTTCAAAATTTCGCCCCGCCCTCTTCCGCCACAACAAAGGACGAAAATCTGTGGCAGGCACAATTTTAAAGATACGATAAACCTGAAACGCAGTATCGCCCATATCTACCAGAATGCCGAATCTGAATTAGATCGGATCATAATTATAGCCAGAATGAAGAAATTAATTTTCAGTTGCTTCCCTCACCTCCACCCGTGAACCCGTGACCCGTGAAATTTTAGAAGAGTTTTTCTAAATTTAAAAATTACAAACAAAACCGAGTTTTAGTGACTGCAAATCTGTATATTTAACGATGACGAAAAGGGAATACAAAAGAGGGGACATGCGCTCGATTTGGATGATATTTTTCGACTTCTTTTCTTCCACGTTATAAAATCGTATTAAGCCTAACTTATCTAGGGCGCCGAAGCGGGGCGAATTCGCCAAGAGCGAGAGAGAGCTTTATTGCGCTCCCGCTTCGCCCTAAACTATCTTACATCAGACTTCAAAAATTAACAAAATAGAAAAATTAGCGGCGTGACGCGACACTGGAACCGTTGCAGGCCTGTGAGGCTTCAACCCATAGGCAGAATTTGAAAGCTCAGCACATACTCCCGGGACCATCGCTGCCAGAATATTTGCCTGGCTGACGAGACAAGCCGCCATCGATTTAAGCAGCTCAGACCCTCCTGGTCCGTGGTCCGGGGTGCTGGGGGTGCGATGAGCGGCCCGCCTATCAGCAGGTGCCAGGGAGTCAGAGCGTCTCCGTCGCTTGGGTCTGGGCTTAGTGATCCGAGCGGGCGCGAGTTTAGTACTGCCTCGATCCCCACCATCACGGTCTCCAGTTCCTCTGCGGTGAGGAGAGCGCTTCCGGCCGACCTTAGCAGAAGGAGTTTTTCCGACTTCACCCCTGCCTCCCACAGTCCGCCCATGTACGGTGCTCGAGGTGGCAGGAAGGCAAACTCGCACCCGCTTCTTGATGCAAACTCGCGTATTGCGTCCGCTTCTGCCTCGATCGTCCTCCTCAGCTCGTCGAAGTGGCGACTTGCTCCGAAGTAATTTGTCGCGTTGTCGCAGTTCACGCGGAGCGGACATCCTCGACGACCAACGAACCTTTGAAAAGCCAATAAGAAGGAGTTAGTCGTTAGATAGGAGACAATTTCTAGATGAACCGCCTTTGACGCAAAACAGACAAATAACGCTATGTAGGACTTCCACGAATTTTTAGTGTCGTATAGACTGGGCCACAAAAATCAACGCCACATACTGCGAATGGGCGGAGAGCACGGAGCCGGTCTGCGGGTAGATTTCCCATCATTTGGGTCTGGAGTCGAGGCTTGCATTTAAAGCAGCGAATGCACGACCTGACCAATGCCCTGCAGACCTCCTGAGCGTTTACTATCCAAACACGCTGCCTAAGGATGCTCACAAGTGCTCGCGGGCCGGCATGAAAATTCGTTTGATTCAGATAGCGAACATAGGTCTGCACAAACTGCGAGCGTTTTGCCAACAGCAGCGGAAACTTGGCATGATATGACATAGGAGCGTCAACTAGTCAACCCCAACTCGCAACAACGAAAAAGAGCACCAAGTCCCCATTTCTTCATTGATAAAGGGATTCAATCGCTGAAGACTGGGGCCTAACCTGGTGCCTTTACGGACCCTTTCGATAGCTTCCTGATACTCGTTTTTCTGGATCAGCTAGACAATACTCTACTGGTGACGGAGTGACTTCAAATTTTAGATTTTTGTCTTTGTATTTTCAGATGAAGCGGAACATGAAAATTAACATTCTTAGCCGCTTTAGGTGTGACGAGTATCCCTCGATTAAATCCACTAAAACATTTGATTAACCGGCCACGGTCAGTCCGAACGCTGTCTTCCCGATTTCCAACATCAGCTCTTCTTCGTAAAGCTCGAAGTGGGGGTTTCTGGGCCAGCTCTCTTCTTCTTCCTTCAAAAACCCTGGTCCACTAAGCCAGTTCGATTGCAATATTTCCTGAACGTCACAACCTCTCGAAACTATGTCTGCTGGGTTCTGTTTATTTGGCACATGCCGTCACGTATCGTCACCTGACCGCTCCTGAATCTCAGCTACTCGGTTTGCAATGAATGTTGATAACGGCGAAGGGTGGGATCGGATCCAATGAAGGGTCACTTCAGAATCCGACCAATATACCATTCGTTCTATTGGCACTAAGAATATAGACGCATGCTCCATATGCTCTCATGGAGGCGTCGGCAAAGACATGTACTTGAATCGGTGACATGGGATCAGTATGTGAAAATCGAGGTATGGCAATCTTCTCCAGCTGACCCAAGGATACTTTTAATAAGTTCCATGCTGTTTCCAGATTCATTGGAATTGACTTATCCCAATCTAGTTTAATAATCCACAGCTCCTACAGAAGGATCTTGCCCTTTATTATTAAGGGGCTTAACAAACCGAGGGGGTCAAACAGCTTTGATGTCACCGATAGTATATTCCGTTTTGTCGCTCGGAGACCCATGACTGAACTGCCAATTTGGAATTCAAAGACGTCCTCGTGAGGTATCCACGAGGTTGACTCTGAGTCCGAGATCGTTATCGGCTTAACTGTGCTCTCGGATGCGCTGACCTCAGGTGAGTTCGAGAACCACTTGGTTAGCTCAAACCCTGCGATTTGAAGAACCTGAGAAACGTCAGACTTAATTGTCTTTAGCTCCTCTACGCAACCAGCACCAGTCAACATATCATCGACATAAAAGTCGGACCAGATAACTTCAGCAGCCTTTGGGAATGAGAGCTTTGCAGACTCACTCAACCTCAAACACCGAATAGCCAAAAATTGGGCAGGTCCAGTCCCATATGTTACAGTGTTGAACTGGTATATACTCAAGGACGCAGAGGGGTCTCTTCTCTACACTATGAGCTGAATTTGCCAATCCGCTTCATCTACCAAGACTTGGCGATACATCTTCTTGATATCGGTTGTCAAGGGGGTACCTGTGTAGTCTGAAGCGGAGTAACGTAATAACATTTTATATTGTACGACCGACCATCAACGTATCGTTCAGGGTCACCTGAGACGACGATTTGCACGATGCATCGAAAACGACTCGGAACTTAGTCGAAGTGCTCTGTGGGCTCAACACACACTGATGTGGTATGAAATAATGTGGAGGTTTAGGGATTGAATTGTCTGTGGGAGACATGTTACCTAAGGAGAGGTACTCTTCCATGAATTCCAAGTCATCTGGTGCAACTCAGGGTCACGAGAAAATCTCTTTTCCAGCGACAAAAACCGCCGTTTGGCAACCTCGAAGGAGTTGCCTAAGATACTAGGATCTGATCTGAACGGCAGTTTTAATTCAAACCGACCTGAAGGCAAAACTTGAGAAGTCTTTCTATAATGCTCCTCACATAACTTGTGTTCAGCAGATAAAGGCTTTTTAGAAGTGACCAAAACTTTGGTAGTGTGCTGTTGATAGACACCACTGACTCTTTTCGATAGCTCAGACAGTTCTTCCTTCTTCTCTTCCTGGGTGACAGTCACCTTTGGACTGTATCTCCCAGAAACAATCTAACCAAGGAGAGTTTTCTGCTGAGTTGGATAGTCAGGACCTTGTCTAATTTGACCAACCGATAAGAGTTCGAGCACCTATCAACATATCTATTCTTTGTGGCTTGTAGAAAAATGGGTCTTGTCACTCACATTAAGTGCGTGATCAGGGTAATATCCCGAGATTGACTTCAGAATCCAGAAATCGACCGAGAACTCACTACCATTGATTCGCGACTTCACCACCGTGTGTATCTTTTTGAATTGTGAATTAGATTCGCCAATTCCAAGCAAGTTGATGCACGACTCCTCCCTACGGATCTGTAAGCGCTGTGCCAGGTCCTCAGTTATGAAGTTAGTTTGTTACTCTCCATTTTCGGTTCGGACGCTTACGATTGACGTCGCCAGAATTACTCTATCCAAAGCTGTCTCATGGAGTGGATGCGAAGTGGAAGGGTTATTCTGATTGGGAGGTGGATAAGATGTCTCTGGGGGTGATGGTAACCCTAATACCTAAAGCCATGGCTTTCTCATAATTACTCTCGGTTACTTGGAACGCCCTTGCCGTTCCCAACGCTTCACCAGAGAGGCATGAAAGCAAGTGGTTAAAATTTTCGATAATTGGAATGCTTTCGTCATTGTAAACAAGAGTCTCAAATAAACTAATGAAGCTTTTGAATTCCGAATATTTTCCACTGAACTTTGGCAGAGCTAACTTCAGAAGTCGAGCACGAATTGGGGCAACATAAGCTGACACTGAAGGCATTGTATCGCTGGCTCTCTTCAAGGCTTCAATAAGCGACATTATATTTGCCTTTGTAACAATCAAGAGTTCTTCCAACTCAGCTCCAAACTCATCGTTACTATCTATTTCTTCGATTGATTCTTGAACTTGGCCTGCCTTGGCTATGGTTGCTTTCAATACGTCGAGTCTGCACTCGAGCTCCACTTGGAGCTCCACTCCAAATCCACTAACAACAACGAACAGCAACGGTCACAATCGAAAGCGAAAAGAAATTCACCGCTGCAACACCGCTGCAGCTACTATAGCTACTATAAGATGAAATTCCTGATTTTCCACTTTCCTCTTCTGGTGAAAGGGAATTCCTTCTTCTTCATTCCTTCATTCCTGCTTGCGAAATGGATATCTTTCGGCGGTAGAGATCGCTAGGTACTTTTTTATATGTATTAGCTTGCAGTTGTTAAGGGGTTTTTTTGTTGTGCATACACAAACACGCGACGCGGTCAGGTGTATATAATATACACTTATACTATATTAAATATATATTTTATATATATATTTAACCACTCGTGTCACTGTCACTTGCTGCCTTCATATACTTTTATTTGCGAGTCCACCCGGGGCGCAATGAAAATTTAGAAGAGTTTTTCTAAATTTAAATATTACAAACAAGCCCGAGTTTTGGTGGCTGCAAATCTGTATATTTAACGATGACGAAAAGGGGACACGAAAGAAGGGACATGCGCCTGACTTGGATGATATTTTTCGACTTTTTTTCTTCCACATAATAACATCTTATTAAGCCTAACTTATCTAGGGCGCCGAAGCGGGACGAATTCGCGAAGAGCGAGAGACAGGGCTTTATTGCGCTCCCGCTTACTACATCTTACACTAGACTTAAATAAAAATAAAAAAAGGCGGGCCACCACCACGCTCGCCGTCCCCCGGGGGACAGGACATAGAGAATTTGTTTGGACGGTACCGGGACAGGGGGGCCGGGCCAGCCGACCCAACGGCCGGAGCACCACCCCCACCAAGACGGCCACACATAGTACACATACCCCCCACCCGGGAGCCCCAACCACAGCCCACACCACGGGACCCACTACAAACGGCCCACCCACCCGCCCTTATTGTCACCAATAATCATAAGTTAGCAATAAGCAATTATTTCCGGGTCTCAGGTGCGATCGCCAGCTGCATAAAAGGGCCAAGATCGGCCGAAAGAGCAGGCAGTCCATCAGACCGAACACAAGACACAGGCAGTCCATCAGACCGAACACAAGACACTACATTAGGCAGTCCATCAGCCCGAACACAAGACACTGCACTAGGCAGTCCCTCAGTCACACACCCAAGACACTTCACTAGGCAGTACATCAGACCGAAAACAAAAGAGGCCAAGAACACAAGACACTGCACTAGGCAGTCACAAGCGCAAAACACCACACAACGCAGTCCACCAGCGTACCATACAGCCAAGAGCCAGAGTAACAACGTAATTAACTAAGTGAATGAAAAGTACTGAATAAACCAAGAACAACCAAAACCAAACTCTCGCGTCATCATTTCTCCCTTGCCTACTGCATTTCAAGCCAGCCCGACACCTGAAGTCACCTGCAATCTAAAAATTTTCTTGTAGCGGACCCTGGACTGACTGATGCATACCTGAGCCTGAGATAGGACCTCACAGTGCACTTATGCCCCAAGTAAGTTACTTCGTGATTGAAAAATAAACATTTATCTGGGTGCAACTTTAGATTTTACTTTATGCAGATAGTTAATACATCTCTTAGGTTTTTTAACATGTGTTCTTCGGAACATTCTAATATGACCAAGTCGTCCATGTCCATTCTTTGGAATGGGTTTGGCGCAATTTTGAGGCCGTAGGGCAATCTTTTCAACCTATATGTACCGTTGTCTGCTCTAAAAGATGTGACATTTCTTGATTGTTGATCTAGAACAATTTGATGGAAACCTGATGTTAAATCGAAGCAAGAGAAATACTTTGATCATCCCAATTGATCCAAAATATCATCTATTCTGGCTAGTGGAAACTTATCGGCTATAAGTTTTTTGTTTATGCCCCTATAATCAACTAACATTCTACATCTTTTTTGAGGATTGCCCGGTAGTGATTTTTTGGTACCAATAGCAATTATATGCGGATACTGAGGGCTCTATTATATCATCTTGTATAAGCTTCTTTATTTGAGTATTTATTTCTTCTTTTTGGCTATGGGGTATTCTATAGTTATACCAAAGACTCTATAACACAACAAGATGCGTAACGACCATACTGCTGAAAAGCACACGAAATTTTAAGCGTGGATTTTCGATGTGGATTTTTGATTTTTCTATGTGTGCGTTGTCTTGTCCGTGTTTGAGCGCTTGGTTGTGTGAGTGCGTTTTTTCGTATGTTCTGTCGCAACAAAGGAATCAAGGTGACATATTGACGACTTTATATCTCCTAAGCCCGTGGCGCAGCGTACTAAGTGGCTGACTTCAAAGCGAAAGTTCACGCATCGAAAACGTTCGCAGGTAGACGTTTTCGATGCGTGACTTTCTCGCTTCTATTAGAATGCATAAAGAATGTTTTCGAAGACAAATTCGTACCCTCGGTAAGGCGGTAGGACAAAAAAAAAAACAAAAGGGAACATGCAAGAACGCACGCGGTTTTTTCTCGTCTTCTTTTATTTCATCACTTGCGTTTTGAAGCCGGTGACAATTGAGCGTTTATCTGTGCTCTCTGCCAACAATTGTGAAAAAGTGAATTTTAAGTGCCTGGAACCGTTTATTTTACCACGTAAGTATTGGCAGATTGTTGTGGCAGTTCGACGTGCACCTTAAGAATATTAAAATAAACAATAAATAACAAATAATTAATATATGTTGATACAAGTTAAGTGATGTTTTAATGTTAACGATGTTCATGCAGTGATATTTATTTAGGGTGGACCTTGTTCGGATTTTTATTGAACTGTTTAGGGTGGACATAAACATTAAAAATCGTATTTGAAATTAATAAACTTGTTTAGGACAGCAGCGCGGTTAACAGCATTAGCAGCGCTCTGTTAGCTCGCGCGCTCTCCCATGCCCTTCGCTCTCGCGCGGCATGGACGCGATCCATTCGGCGCTCCATCACGGGCTCTAGCCGTAGACCGAGCTGGAGAGAACAGTCTCTCGACACCTACGCGCCTTTACACAACCGTCATCAACCCTCAGCTTGTACCAGCAAATACACGCCAATTATATTTGACGCCCCCGACTTTTTATTTATTGGGAATCCGGGCTGTGGGAACCACCAACATCCACCCTCCTACAAAACAAAACTTTTCCCAAAGTTAATAAAACAATAACAAATTTCTTTTTGATAAGGACGGCATTCTCCAAAGAAAATAATCGCATTTACTCGGTCTCCTGACTTGCAAAAAAAAATGCAGACACCGACAGGATCGACGGCAACAACATCCCCGAGAAAAACAACAACTACAACCACGACAAGGATTTCATCATAGACGACGACGGCAATTATTTAAAAATTTTTTTTTATTAGTATTAAAATTAATTTTCTTATATTTTTTTTTCATTTTATTTTTTTCTTAAATATTTTTTCGTTTTTTTTCTTTTTCTTATTTTGTGTATTATATTTTAGTGAAGAAAATATTTAAATAAATAAATCAAATTCAAACAAATTTATAGTTTTTGTATTTATGGGTTAATCCCGCGTTCTTTTAGAACGCTCTTTCATGCATGCATGCATGAAGCAACGGTTCTTGATACATGTCAGGAATGTGATAAGGAATGATTGCATTGGAACAGTTCCAGAACGGTTCTTAATAGGTTCCTATGTTACGGTTCTCGATGCATGCCAAATATGTGTTCTGTAATGCTACTTTCGGAAAGTACAACTGGAAGCGAAACCCAAGCGTTTCACGAAGTTTAAATTACAACAACCACCAGTTTCCAATGCGTTCTAAAGGAACGGTTCTTACTAACTTCCAAATGTACCGGTGCTGGCGTGTTTCGCCCTGTGCAATTTGGAAACCAAAACGTCATGTATAAATCACTGGTACTTGCTTGAAAAAGAACCGCTCTAGAAGTGCTTCTTGGAAGGTATAAAGTCCGACTGGGTTGGAAGGTATAAAGTCCGACTGGGAAAGTATGTGGCCATGTCCGTATGTCCGTCTGTTCTGTGAGGACCTATCTCAGGCTGGGATATGCATCAATCTGTCCAGGGTCCTGAATTACAAGATAATTTATAATTCACGAGGACTTTATTGGGAAAACAGGGACTTTGCCAGCAACTGAAATAAAATGGTTAGGGAAATCACAACACTTTTTGGTCCCTTGGCTTTTAATGGATTTCTTTATTCTTTTGGGTTATTATTCTACTCAGTTATGTTGACCGACTGACCGCGACGTGTATTGTAGTTCTGCTGAGGGACTCCCGATCGACTGCCTTGCATGTTTGTTATTTGCCTGACTGCTATGGCTGATGGACTGATCGACTGCCTCGTCTCGACGGAAGGCAGTGCCTTTAATTGATCGGCCGGCCATCGATTTTCCCACCAAAGTCTTACAGATATCTTATTTCTATTTCGAAATGTCGGGATGTTCTTACATAAACATATAGTGCCGAGTGGATTGCCCGGTAGCAGAGGGTTACCTAACGCAATCGCCTCCCAATAAGTGTCCAATGTCCCAGGTAAGATGATCAGTGTGCACCGGTAACGTGGGAAAGGAATTTTGTTGGAACTGGAATATATGCTGAGTCATAATTATTTATTTAATCTAATTTTAGGTACACCGGTAACGTGGGAAAGGAATTTCGTTGGAACTGGAATATATGCTGAGGAATAATTATTTATTTAATCTAATTTTAGGTACTTATTGTGTAAGACCCCTTGTGCCGGTCTCCTGTATTTTGGTAATGCTGAGTCTTCGTTTTTGCTGGGTGTTGATCTCTTCACTTGGGAGTAGCGTTGGTTGCATCGACTGCTTGTGACGAACCATGGGAACCAGCATCGTGTTTCCCTTCTTCGAGGTAGTGGTCCAACGAAGTCAGCGCATAGTGAGGCGAATGGCTCTTCGGCTTTGCGAGTGAGCATCTGACTCACCGGCTTGCGTTGTTGAGCTTTGAACTTCTGGCAGCTTACGCAGCCACGGACATATTTTCTCACGTCCCGGTAATTACCTGGCCAATAGTACCGTTGGTATATTCGGGTGATGGTTTTCCTGACTCCTAGGTGGCCAGCTGTGGGTTGGTCGTGGTATTTGTGGAGGACTCTGGCTCGGTGATCTTTTGGTACGCAGAGTTTCCATGATACGTAGGCGTCGTCATCGGCGCCATGGCCCAGATGTCGATATAATTTCCCGTTGGCGTAAGTGTAGTTGGGACATTTCTGAGGCTCGTCCTGGACTTGTTATATCCTGCGCTGGAGGCTGGGGCAGACTGTCTTCTCCTCTTCGATCCGTGCGAGTGTTCCTAATGGCTGCCTGAAAAGTTCATCTGCAACCACGTTCTGGTTGACCGCTCGTTAATGCACGTCATATTGGTACTGCTCGAGGGCCCATCTCGCCACTCTACCGTACGGACTCTCAATCGTATTTAGCCATTTTAGGGCTATATGGTCGGTGATTACATCGAACCGGTCGGTCCGGGCGGTCGTGAGAAGTTCCTTCAGTAGGTCAAAAGCAGCCAGTTGTGCTTCGGTCCATATCTCTTTTTCATTTTCTCTTTTTGAGCAGGCAGGACATCGGTTGAACGAATGTTGCGATGTTTGGTACAAATCCGATACCAGGACGCCATCCCGATGCACAGTGGTCGATTCTGCCAATCTGGCAGGCAATAAATGAAAAATTAAAAGATCGAATCTTATTAATTTTTTTTACTTTTTGGAAAGTAAACATCCCACTGATATTTATTGCAATATTTATATATTTTTCCTATCGATAGTCCAGTACCTGCACGCGGTTGAATCGCAGAAAACTTTTCTGTCCATACCTAAGTACATTTTACCGCCTTTTTATGGCTTTTGGTAAAGCAAAATAAATTTTAATATTTTGCGTTTTGTATTAAAATTGCCATCCATTTTGATAAAAGTTGGTAAGAATTTAATAAAAAATATATGTGTTGGTCCTGTGCTTACATGTATTAGTGGTAAATCGTTGTAGAACTTAACATTTCCTGTAGTGTGCTATTAATAACATACCCAACACTTGCATGGAATAGATCTTTTGACATCCGCCCCCTTCCGCCTTCAATCTTTTTTCCTTTATGAAACCAGTCTTTTTTGAATCTTCTGTGTTGAAACAAATTGCAACTACGTGCCACACGTTAATTTATTTGATTTTATAGGGAAAATGGCAGTATCAAAAAGCACGCTTTTTGCGATGTTTCGTAAGGAAGCTGAGTAAGAAAAAAAGCTAAGGCGAGTTGGATCCATGTTGATCCATCCATCCACTCAATTAATTGATAATTGATAAAAACAAACTCAGCGAAAATGATTGTTAGCGAATAAAATAAAAATTAAGTAATTTTGCCTCTGAGTGAAGTGTGCAGCAGAAATTAAAAATACTTCAAAAAACAGAGCAAAAATTTTAATTTTGACCTATACCTTTTTTGTAATAATATAAAGTGTTTACAAAAACATTTTATAATATTTTGAAATACAAAATAATTTTTTTTTTAAGTTTATTTTAAAAAGTTTTTAAGTTAAAAAATAAATAATAAAAATGTATTTAAATACTCCGCGGATTTATATTACAAAATACAAAAATATTTTTAAAAATGTTACTCATTTATTTTTTGAGTTATTAATTATTGCCTGCCAGATTGACAGAATCGACCACTCTGCGATGCATTGACGGAGTTCTTTCAGGTTTGTAGGAGGCCAGAGTTCTTTGACGGCAGCAATTTTGTCGGGGTCGGTATGGACGCCGTCTTCGTGCATTTTTCCGAATTTATGTGTAGATTAGCTCTTCGTAGTCGAAAAAAAAAAATAATTTTAGGTTTTGTAGGTGCTCATTATAATCATTAATATCATATAGGTAAGAGAATGCGTAGGGTTCCATATCGGCCCCAATTATGGTGTCGAGGGCCCGCTGGAATGGTGCTGGCGCTGAGTGTAGTCCAAAAAGCATCACTTTCCATTGCTGGAGGCCTCTGCCTGGTACTGTGGAAGCTGTTGCTTCTCGACTTCCGTTGGCCATTGGTTTCTGCCAGTATGCATTCTTCAGATCGAGAGTGGTGATTAATCGTGCGTTTTGTAGACGTTCCAAGATGTAGTTGATTCTGGGTAGTGGGTACGCGTCCGGGATGGTATGTTCGTTGAGCTGTCGGAATTCCACGCACATGCGCCATTTCCCATTCTTTTTACGAACGAGAACGATGGGGGCGCTGTGAGAGCCTCGGGAGGGCTCGATGAGACCTTCCGTTATCAATTGGTCTACTTGTTCGTCGATGATTTGCATCATGGCCGGGTTTTTAGGATAGTATCGTTGCCTGATGGGTCGATTATCCCTCATGACGAGGGTAGTCTCGACGATGACTGAGGTGCCATGGAGAGTAGCGAACTTCGGTAGCTCCTCATCCAGAAATACGACAATGGTGACAATGGGTGTGGCATCGACTATGGTTACGATATTTCGGTATGCCGGTTGTAATACTCGTGTTGTACTACAGCCAGACTGGTACGTAAACAGGTGAGTCGCGATGACGCCTCTAGTATCGCAACAACGACTTGTTTGGGCGACGAAGATCTCGGACATGGCTCTAGGCATGGCTCGGTGCATGGCGCTAAGAATCATGTCGGTACGCGGAAGGTACACCAATGGATTGGCGAAGATCTGTGTGGCGTCGGCCGTGGGTACGA